AGGGAAGGGAAGGGAAGGGAAGGGAAGGAAAGGGAAGGGAAGGGAAGGGAAGGGAAGGGAAGGGAAGGGAAGGGAAGGGAAGGGAAGAGAAGGGAAGGGAAGGGAAGAAAAGAGAAGAAAAGAGAAGAGAAGAGAAGAGAAGAAAAGAGAAGAAAAGAAAAGAGAAGAAAAGAAAAGAAAAGAAAAGAAAAGAAAAGAAAAGAAAAGAAAAGAAAAGAAAAGAAAAGAAAAGAAAAGAAAAGAAAAGAAAAGAAAAGAAAAGAAAAGAAAAAAGGGCTTATCTGCTGACTTTCCAAATTTCACCAGGGCTACACTGAACCGCTGTAAAGTGGTACCTCTCTGCTGGAGCAGAATGTGAATGAAGGACATTCACTCTCAATTTTATGTAGCTGTGACTGCACACTGCAATTTAGGGTCATATATTGACGTGGTCTCTGCTTCCAGGCCACAGAGATGCCTGAAAAGTATGAATGTTTTCTAAGAAATGCTTTTTTCCAAGCACTGAAAAATTGAGGTTTCAGTCCAGGACTGCACAAACATTAAGAAAGCATCCATCACTGTGGTTGGGTCTGAGTACTGGATGTGAAATGCTCAAGTTCACCCCAAACAGAACTGAACTGAGGTCAGTAAAAGCTGAAGTCCTTTGGGCACAGCTAAATTGTTTTTTGAAATATTTCATTTGCCAAGGCTGAAATTCCCTTGCCCGAGATTCTTAGCTACAATTCAACAATTCGAAGTTTCAGCAGTGACACCATGAATAGCCCACACAATAACTTTAGGGGTAGTCTTCAGGTTCTTTTTTTTCTTTCCCATTGTCAGGAAGAAGGCTGTATTCAAAAAAGACTTCTTAAATTCAAACTATTTGGCAGCAACCAGTAGCAGCTTCCTCACAAGAAGTTTAATGTGTCTTCATTCGAGCCTTTAAAGGACAGTGGGAATAACTCTGCACGAAGAGAGAAGTATACCAGAAGCAATTCCCACTTAATAATGTTTATAGTTCAAGAGATTTGTTGCATGGGCCATTCAGAAAATAAAATGGACCAGAAATGTAAGTCAGCCTAACGCTGTGTCATGCTGTAATTCTCTTTCCAGAAGGATCAGCACAATGCTTCGGGGTACACAGCCTCTTCTGAACGCGCGCCCAGGAACTCTCAGCTCCTTCAGGGTAATCTGTGCCCCTGAGATGGGAGCAGAGTATCTGAGTTTTCAAACCAGTGACAAATTACTCTTTTTTTTTTTTTCTTTTTTTTTTTTTCTTTTTTTTTTTTTTTTTTCTGGTTTTGATTCTATTTTCAGCCTGGGATTGGATACAAGTCAAGATGGAACTGGAGCAAATGTGAAAATTGCTGCAAGGAACTAGAGTTTAGTGAGAAAATAAATGGCATTTCTGAAGAATAAAACCACATCCACCAGTGCTAGGATATCATTCCCACATAGCAGAGCCCTTACAGGCAGAAAAATTGATGTTGGTAATTTACAGCTCATAGCATCATCAACTCTAGTTATAATCACTCAAAATTTATGTCATTGTGGGTGTAAAATTAATCCTTTAAAATAGAACACAACAGTAAAGCTAGAATTAAAAGAAAACTATCATTCAGTCTGCTTGTGACATGCATTTGGACATGTATTGTGCCATGTATTGCACCAAGCAGCTGAGTTTGGTCCCAGAAAACACCCCCTGCACACCCAGGTGCCAGGCATGGTCGCCCTGAGCCTTTGGGCTGCGATCCTCATCCCTCTGGCTGCAGCTCCCTGTGCACAACAGGTCAGTGAGATGCGGGCTGCAGTGCGCACGGTGCAGCTGCAGCCAGAAGCTGCCCCTCTCCTTGCATTGGCTGCACCCTGCTCAGCAACGCCCATATAGGATGCACGGGGAGCTCTGCTCATCTGCCTCACCACCGCAAACTTTTCACCAAGTTGTGCAGCTGCTTTGGTAGAGAAAGAAGCCCTCCATCCTCTCATCTCTGGCTGTTAAAATAGAGAGGGTTTGGGGGAGCAATTTCAAATGGGTGGTGTCTTTCATTCAGCCATCCAAGTATGTCAGGAAATGTTTAAGAATCACCAGGAAGGTAAAATCACCCTGTGGTGACTCAAGGTCAGACCCCTCCATCCTCTAGCATAACAACTGCAGGAAAATCTCTGAAGACACACTTGAGACAGAAGTTGCAATAACACATGTTGGAAGGTGCTGGAAGCTGTCCTCCCAGAGCAAGCAGAGGGGCTGGGTTACAATCTGCAGTGTAGAGCTTCACTTGTTAACTTTTTCTCCCCATTGTTTTTCAAAAAGCAGTATTTGCGCAGTCACACCACAGCTACATTTGAGAGCAGCACCGCAAGTGATATACGATGCAATTTCCACTGGCTGTACAGCCATACCCATGCTCACGAATGCACTGCACAGAACATGGTTGTATGTTCATGCATGCTTTTGCACTACCACTTCTAAGGGCCAGCCTTCTTGCACAGCCCCCTGCTACTCTGCTCCTTGCTACTGTGCAGCTCCTTCAGCCTGAAGGCTCCTTCCTGCGTCTCACATCAAGGCTCTGCACATCCCAGAGCAGCGCTTGGCAGCCCCTGCTCCTGTTGAATTGAAAGAACATCACCCCTGAGCTCTCTTTGCACACATCTCTGCAGCATCAGATGCACACAGAGCATTTTTATCAGTGGAGATAACAGAGGGAAATTTTGACTCAGCGTCTCAATCCCAACTGTTACCAAAGAAAAGAACAAAATTAAGAATCGGCATTAGGAACCTGTAGCACCCTTCAACTTTGCAAGCACTTGGATAGGAACAAATTGCTGCCACATTAAGGCTAAAATGCACATGCTGAGTTACTGTAGGCAAGATCTGTAGTATATATATTCACACACACTCATGCGTACATTAGTGCTTCCTTACTTAACAGAGATCTTCATAGAATTACGGAATGAAGACATACCTACATCTGTGTAAAAGTATTAGAGATGTTCACTCAGAAAGAACAGTTGTATTTGCTTTCAAATTTTAAAAATAAGGGGAATTACTCTCATATGACACTAATTGTACAGCCAGTGTCAGCTTTTAACTTCTAACTGAGGTTATTCTTGATTTAGATCAACGGATGTGAGAAAAAGATCAGATTCTGAGTGTCAGACAGATGGCAGCCGGACTTGTTACAAGAACACATATATTCAGCATCACAGAAAAGCTTCTCAAAAAGATTTTAAAAAGGCACCAAAATAACAAAGCACCTGAAGAGCGATGTGTTGGAGTCAAGAACGAAAAGATGAGAAACAGATTCCTTTCTTGTACCAGGATGGCACCATTGTGACATCTCCAGTGTGAATGCCACTGCCTGATGCCAAAATGTGCAAGGTAGAATGAAGCAGTAGTTACAGTGCCAAGATAATAAAAGGAGTTTGGGAACATTCTGTATCATATGAATCACATATTGAAATCAACATAAAGAAAGATTGATACAGCGGTAAAAACTGTTACAGTTTTCTGCTAAGGAAACCAATGGTAACCGTTTCTTGGGACATGGAGGTGAGGTGGGATGAAATTTTTGCATTCTGAGCTACAGTTTCCCCAGGAGCAGGAAGGAAGGAGGACTCTGACCGAAGTTTTCTCATATCTCAATTCACAGAACGTGTGTATTTTTTCAAACAAATTCAACGATGAATGAAAGCTGTAAAGCTGTGGTTGTCTTATTGCTTCAGGAGGTAACAGCCGAAGGGAAAATGCAAACACTAAGGTTATCTAAAAATACTGCACTGAGCTACTTCAGAATACTTCCAATATTTCGGGTAACACATGCTCTAATTATACCCCTGCATCATTATCAAATTAAATAGCTTCATTTTTCGGTACTAAAACAAGGCAAGTCACCTGAGATACCATCTATTAATTTCAGCATGACAAGCCCAGGTTCCCAGTGGGGAGGTAACAAATCAATGGGAAAGAGGAGTCTTGGCTGGAAGCGGACGGCTGCCAGCTCGGTCATGCACCGCTAACTTCCCCCATTAGGCAGCCTGGCTGCTCGGATCCAGCCTGTTCGAGCAAGGAAACAGAAAAGAGGAATGAAAAGCAAAGCACACCGACAGCAGATGGTGATGAGACTCAGAAGTCATCTCCAAAGCTGAGTAAGAAAAAGCCAAAAGGATACTGCAATGCCACCAAATTCAGCAGATGTGACTGCCGTGCAGATTAGGCTACTTGTTGCAGTCTACATTCTATACCTGAGCACGTTAAGGTATCTCAGCAAGCAGCAAGCGTTCCCTTACAGCTGGAACTTCCTGAGGAAAATGTGGTGATGGTCGCAGAGACAGTACTGTAACACAGTGCTGGAGAACGAGCTCCTATTGCACACACAGCCAGCGCAGCTCCGGAGCCGCTGACTGCAGTCACCCACAGCAGTGCCTGCACACCTCACACGTTCAGCACCAATTCTGTTCTTTGTGGCATACGCACTGCTTCGCTGCCTCTCAGCTACAGGTGCAGCTGGAGACAAAGCCATCAATCACAGACCACAAAGCACCCTCAGACTGCTCTCTCTACAATGCCAGTGCATCGGAGAGGCACAGAGAAATCTGTTGCTGCAATATTTCTGAGTGGAACACAAAAACTTTCTTTTCACCTTGTTCAGCAAGGAAAAGCCCTACAAAAAAAACCCTGCCAAAGCAAGAAGTTCACATCTCCTCTGTGGTAAAGAACGAGCATACTAACCATATACACACGTGCATAACTTTTCCTACAGCATTTCTGCTAACACCAGCTGGCAATAAGCACTTTTGACATCAGATCCTAATGCCGAGAACTCGGCTGGAAGAGCGGAGCGGGGCAGCGTGTGCCTCCCGCCGCGGCTGCCGAGCCCTGTGCAGCATCCCGCCGCCCGAGCGGGCAGGGCAGAGTCCGGGGAGCTCCGCACATCGCGCTGGGGCTCGGGCGCGAAGCCGGCCCCGCGGAACAGCCGCCAGGAACCGCGCGTGAGGAGGCCGGGCGGATGCGGAGCACTCACCGCGGGGGCCGTCAGGCGGCGGATGCTCTCGCCCAGCGAGTCCAGGTTGACCCGCCGACGGCGCGGAGCGCGGCGAGCCCCGGCGCTGGCCGCGGCGACGGCGGCGGCGCCGGCGGCGAGGGGTGGCTCGGCGGGGCCGGGAGGGCTGCGGCTGCCGTTCCAGCACAGGCGGGACAGCGGACACTCGCCCTCCTCCTCGGGGCTGGTCTCCGGACAGTCGGAGCCCAGCGAGCTGAAGGACTCGGAGGAGATCTTGCGGCGGGACATGGTGCCGCGGGCCGGCGGGACTCAGCGCAGCGGCGGGCAGCGCGGGGCCGCGGGGCCGCGAGGGCGGCCGCCTCGCATGGCCGCGGAGCCCCTCGGCGGGGGGCGGCGGCGGAGGCGCCCCGGGGCCGTTCTCGGCTCCGCGCTTCGCCGCGCCGCTCCGAGCCGCGGGTGCTCGCCGGGAGGCTTTAAAGCGGCGGCGGCGGCTGCCCTCCTCTGCCTCGGCCGCCCTCCCTCGCTCTCCCCTCCCCCGGCTCCCTCGCTGCTTCGCGGGAATCACGTGTTGTTTGGAGCCCTTTCCTCCTCCTCCTCCTCCTCCCGCCTCTCCCCTCCCCTCTCGCCGCCTCTCGCACGCCGCGGCCCGGCAGCATCCCCCCTCCCTGACCGCGCTGCTCCGCGCTCCCTCCCCGCGCTACGGGGATCTCCCCGCGCTACGGCGGTGTCCCCCCTACGAGGGTGTCCCCGCACCGCTCCGGCCGTGCCCGGCCCCGCCGCCTCCGGGCCCGTGGCGGTGCTGGACAGCTCCCTGAGCCCGGGCTGCCGGGAAGGGCGGCCCTGAGCGCCCGCCGCCGGAGCGCTTCACTGAACGGCACCGCTCAACCTCGGGGAAATGGATGGTATTAAAAATAGGAGAACGCTAAAGGGCTGCCGTCAGTTTTCAGAGGAAAAAGTTCTTTTCGGGTCTGACGTTGTGGGTCACATCCAAGAAAAGGAACTGAACGCATTCTCTGTGTTACAATCCAGCTAAAGGAAAAAGGAGAGGAGTGCGGGAAACAAAGCAGAGGAGTTTGGATGTAGGATGACAACCATAAGGCAGTGTCAGGGCTCTCTTTTCCCAGCCCTCCCTGCCCACACAGCTGGGGTGAAGGAAGCGAGAGAGTACGGTGGCAGCATGGATAGACCCATGTACTGCGGAAAGACCAAAGGAAACGTGCCCTCGGTGGTAGTGCTTCATCCAGCCATCAGGAAAGAAACTTGTCATTAATTCATCTTCTGTCAAACAAAGCTTTCTTTAAAAGCAATCCTTTTAGGATCGTTCTTCCCCTGCCTGCCTCCTGTGTCATAGTATACATTTTACCCCCTCATCCATTGAAATATCTGAGTGCAGCCTTGATGAAAACCCACCTGAGAGATTGGGAAGACACCCACAGGCCTGGAGCAGCTCTCGGGGATGGCCCAAGGCAGTCCACACTGCACACCCACGTTTGGAAGGCCAGGCAGACGGCTCTCAGAGAGGACAAGGCTTAAATCACAGATTTCACCAGGGCATTCCTTTCAGAGCCACCATCTCTCGGCTCACCAGGTTTCTGTTTCAATTTTCTTATTTATCTAGAAATTTATAGAGGAAGAGAAACAATGGAGCTCCTTTTGTCATGGCACAGTTCTTAAATCTCTGCAGCTTGAAGCCTGTGGCTTGAAAGGATGTATCGAAAAGCCAGGGTGGTCCGTGCTGCCTTCTGTTGTCTTATAAATAGTACACTTCGGATGCAGAATGACTTTCTTTTGCAGCCCTGGTAATTCCTTCAGCAGCACTAGGGCAGGAATCTGAGATGTCTTTGCTTGAAAGTTAATTCACACATGAGCCTCCTCTGTCTTTCCTCCTCTCTTGTTAATAACAATATACTTCAGTACATAGAGCACAGAGAGAAGTCAGGGGGCATGGTTTTAAATTAAGACAGGGGAGGGTTAGGTTAGATATTAGGAGGAAGTTTTTCACACAGTGAGGGGTGACACACTGGAACAGGCTGCCCAAGGAGGCTGTGGATGCCCCATCTCTGGAGGCATTCAGGGCAAGGCTGGATGTGGCTCTGGGCAGCCTGGTCTGGTGGTTGGCGACCCTGCACATAGCAGGGGGGTTGAAAGTGGATGATCATTGTGGTCCTTTTCAACCCAGGTCATTCTATGATTCTGTGATTCTGTGATTCTGTGATTTTCCCTTCTTCCCTCTACAGAAATGTTCACTTTGACAGATGCTGTGCAGCCCACCTGCCCTCTATCCCAGCTCCTGCCACTGGGGGCAGTCACTCTTTTAGGCTGGCATTTTTTAGAGCTGTCATACAATCATACAACCATGAAGGTTGGAAAAAAATCACTAAGATCATCTTGTCCAACCATCAACCCATCACTACCATTGTGACTATTCATGTGAGCGCAGGGTGCTCTGAGTTAAGGTGTTGACATCCTCCAGATGCTTCAGGTTCCATTACACTTATTTCTTTCTCATAGACTGTATTGCACAGTCCACAGCAAGGCAAAATTCTGCTAGTTCTTGGCAGATGCAGAGGCAGTGACAACTGAGGAAGATGCACAAAGCTCAGGGTTGGAAAAGCAGATGCGTATTTATGATTGTAAACTGCTGCAATACCAAAGTATCAACTGGTTCCTTATGCAGCACTTCAGGATTAGGGAAGCAACATGGTTATGGGTGCTTTTGCATTTTATTCAGCCACGGGGAATAATGTTTTTGAGAAGACAAAGCTGGCATTTTTAACCATCCCATTTCTACTTTTTCTGGGAGTAAAGTTTAAAGCAGTATTTCCTGAGGCAATTCGTCATTGGTGTGTGACAGCATTCTGAGTCCCCTTTGCAGTATTACTGATGACTTCCCTCACAACACTCATGGCCATATTACTTTTACATCTGTGATGTAGTGACCCTGAAATGCTTTTCTTTGGTGGCTGTTCCTGATGTGGGGATTATTATAACCAAGTGCACTCAAGTACCAAATCAATTCATTGCGAGAATATAAAAGACATTTCCCTTCTGCATCTGGACACTGACCTTCACCATTCAGTGTAAAAAATGCAATCACGGCTCCAAGACTTCTGTTGTTCAAGCTGGAGCAGTGCTGTGAGTAAGCCTGGACTCAGTGTTGTTCCTCACTGGCTGTTTTGCTCAGCCTTAGCCTATGGAACCTGTGGAAGCAGGCCTAACACCCACCTGCTCTATCACAAGGATTGGTAATCTGTGTGCTGCAACACTGTTTGGGATTCATGATATAAAAATATATGGAATTAGTTAGAGTCACCAGAGGCAGCAGGAGATCCTGGGTGTTGTAAGGCCAGGAGGTCCCACAAGTTGAAAGCCGGAATCATTTTTCTCCTTCTATTTCCTCTGATCAAGATGCAACCTTGGCAAAAGCTAAATACCACAGAGGGCTGCTTCATCAGATAGGCAAATGCTTTTGACAGCACGTAGACATAGAGAGCTACAGCACATAAGAGAACAAATGTTCTTCTTTTATACATGCCTTATCAGCCTAAATTTGCATTTGGCACACTACTGGATGAATAACAGACATGTCTGTAAAATGTATAACATTCATCTAAGCAGTGCCTACAAAACTTTTCTATCATGTTATGACAGAATGCAATTTCTGTGTCCCACAGGTCTTGCAGGCAGCTCAAAGAAAAACATGGATATTTTTAATTCTTGTGTAATTATTACCAGACAGTTGATGGTCTAAGATCTTTTTTACAAATTTTTACTTGTTTGCTCCCAGTTATAAAAGGAAAACTCACAAGACTGTGTTCAAGCCTGACATAAAATGCATGGTTGTTAATTTCCATTAATTGTAGTGTGATATCATTATTTATTCATTAGTTTTATTTGTTATTAAGTAAGCATTTCTAACCTGGTATTACATGCTGCATTTTTTTACATCACTTCTATTTTCAAATGCTGTATTTCTGCTGTTCAAACGGCCACGGATGATTAAAATAACCAAAACAACTTCATCATGGCACATTTCATTGTCCTATTTGTTAAGGAAACACATAGCAGAACTGACGGAAGAAATTATTAAACAAATCCCACATAGGGATTAGTCGCATCTACCACATACATCACTTAAATAGTTCCTATCATTTCACCTAGGACATTATATGTCTTTTTATACTAATCTTTTTATAATGCTGTTGAACATACAAATACTTAATTTTACTTTAATAGAAAAGATTGCTGTCCTGAGATCAATGTCTCCCACTGAGAAAGTAAACATCTGTTTTGCAAAGCATTTTTAAAGCAGCAGGAGACCATTATCCTGTGACAACATTCTATTACAATTACTTTATTGCAGTCAGGCAAAATGAGTGATGTGCAGCAAATTTATTCTTTTTTCACATCCTGCCAAACCTTTCTGTTCTTTATCCAATGACTTCCATCTGGAGTATTGCCTGGAAGGACGGCTGGGGCCTTCTGCCATTTGTCATTAATGATCTGTTGAATTACGATTGGTTTAAAGAACAAATCCGTTTTATGTTTCAGCTTCTCAGAAATAAAGTTTAGCTGCAAGGCGCAGTGGATTCACATTGGTCAGTGCTGATGTTCTGGTAGTCAGGTATATTTGAGTCCATCAGCTGTGTTACTGTCCTGTTTTCAGCTAGGACAGTTGTTGGGTTTTTTTACTTTCATATTTGCTGGTATGATGTTGTGTTTTTACTATGGGAAAAAAGCAGTATTGATAACACACCGATGTTTTAGTTCTTGCCAGCAGTGGCTGCACAGAACCAAGAACATTATGACTTCTCATACTGACCCTCCAGCCAGGAGCTGGGGGCATGAGGAGATGGGAGCGCACAGAATCAGGACAGCTGACCCAACCTGGTCAAAGGGACATTCCAGAGCACATGACATGTGACAAATGATTTTAAAACTGTGTGCAGGCACAGTCTGGGGAAAAGCTGGGCATCCATCAGCGGGGTGGTGAGCAATTTCTTTGTGCATCACTTGGTTTGTAAATGTGTACTATAATATTACTGTTACTATTATTCTCCTTTTCTCTGCGTTTTCTGTGTTAGTAAATAGCTTTTAGTGCAACCTATCACTTAGTTCCACTTTGTTGGGTTTTTTTTGATTCTCTGCCCCATCCCACTGGGAGAGAAGGAGTGAATTGTGTTATGCTGAGCAGCTGCAGGTTAAACCACAGTGGTTACTGAAGGAGTACTTAATTAATTTTACACTGTGGGATGAGGTCCTACATAATGAAGGCAGTGGAATATGGACCTTAATGATCATAA